ATGCTCTGGCTTTTTTGGATCCTATTGTGAGGCACTTAGTTTTCCCCATGCAATGTACAACTTAAATGGTGTGAACTCTCTGTGATCAGGCACCAAAAGGTAAGGGCATGTTTGAAGATATACAAGGAGTTTCTATCAAAGCTACATTCAGGTTTCCTGAGTCTCAATTTAGGACTTTAACCACAAGCTAAGCCTCTTTATTTAGCTTTTACAACTAAATCTGATGTGAGGTAGGTAAAACAAGGGGGTTTAAATGGAAAAACTGGGCCAAAATGCAGATAGCTGTGCTTAAAATAGCTGTGTTTGCTCACTGCTGCACAGTGAACTGAAATGATTTATTATAAGCTGTACCAGAATATATTATTCATGGTGAAGGCATGGGAAAGGTCTTTGATATGTATCTGAAAGAGCTTCAAACCCATAAAAGAGATAAATTTTGTATGAATAGTGTCACTGAGAGTATAGATGAAACTCTCAGACACATCCTCATATCACATAATATAATGTAGAGCCACTATACTTACACAATCCTTGCATTAATTTCACTTAAAAGAGAAGTTCATTAACATATTTATGTACAATGATCATCTACCCAACCCAGGACTTGAGGCACAGCCATTATGTTTTAATTTTCTTTTAATACATACTGCAGTCTGGGAGTTGTTTGAATTTTCTGGTACCCTAATTCCCTCACATACTTCGCAGCAGCCTTAAAATCTACTGTTCTTTTATTAAAATATTGTTGCTCCTAAATGGAAGCTTGTCGGTGCCACAGTTCTAGGTTTGCGTCATTCCTTTGTGATAGCTTCTAACGCCCATTCTTCTTCCAGAGGCAGTCCAGAATTTAGGGCCACGTCCACATGAGTGCAGACGTTTGGTCCCTGGAGACAACCAGCAGCAGGAGTTCAGAGATGATTCACTTGGTTCAAATAAGCAAGAGCTATGTCAGATGCTTCCAGATATTCTTTCTCCTCCTCCTCCTCAGCACCTAATGGCAAGATTAATCAACATAAGTAAGCAGGCTGTAAAACACTGTGGATAAGATCTTCAAAAAGTATTGAGGGTGCCCAACTGCCATTGAAATGAGAGGGGAAGGTTCTTTTATAATATCTTTTATCGGACTAATTGTATAGTTGGGAGAGAAGTTAGACAAGCTTTTGGGTACAAACTGCCTTTTCAAATGGGATTGTCAGGAAAGGCAGTTTATACCCAAAAGCTAATTTGTTTTCTCTCCCAGCTATACTGTAGATCCAATAAAAGACCTCACAAAAGAACCCTTGCCTCTTGCACACTTCCTGGACCATAATAACTACAACAACATTATAACCCGACTACAGCATATAGAAATGAAAAGCATCTGGGCCTCAGCTCATGCAATGGGACAAATCCTCCATCAGCTGAGGTGGAGCTCTGCTGACTTAATTCAGGCATGACACTAGCCCCAGAATGTTTGCATCTTTCTGGGATCGAGCAAAACAAGCTCACTGATTCTGAACTAACAGCGAAGCCCCACTTTCAATGTCATCTAATTGGTTATTGAGCAAACAGGATGTGTCAAGGACTTCTTTTGCACCATCCTAAATTGTTACTTCCTGTACTCATCTCTGGCTACTGTTTGGATAAGACTGTGATTAATTATGGTTTTATTTGCTTCAATAAAGAGACATCTAAGTGCTTGCTGCAATTGCATTTGAGACAATAATAATAAAGTTTCCCAGTAAATGCCTGCAATTAAAGCATTCATTATTAATAGTGCTAATTAACCTCATACACTAATCAGCTGGTAAAGTATACACAGCCCAGGGAAAAAAGAACAGCTCACTTAAGTGTTTAACTAGCCTGCCAGGAACAGAGCTCACAAAGTGTGACACTGGTTGCACTGACATATCACCAATCTCTGTAGGCTCAGGGTTTAGCATGGCTGCTGTGTACTGCATCACTGATAGTCTAGTCTTAGTGTAAGGGAATCCTTCCAGAGATGGAGAAATGCCAGAGGTATTAATCACTGCATTTCGTGCAGCCAGCACAGGGGAATAGTTAGGATTTCTGCCCAGCTAATCTGTCCTCAGCCTCCATGTCAGCCCTTCTGACTCCTTGCTAGAAGGGTTCACTGCTTCCAAGTCTGTAGACAATGCAATTTACATTTAGATCCACAAAGGTGTCTGATTTCCATTCAGATGCTAACTCCCCAGTTCCCCATTGATTTTATTTCCTGTTAACTTCATGGGAACAGGCACTTAAGCAAGAGTTGGTCTCTTAAATACTTCTGTGGATCGGGCCCTTAGAGTCTTTGAGCTGCCTTGAATTTGCCTGAGAACCAGTTCATCTGGGCCCAGGGGAGCACAAACATGACCTTGGCACTCCCATCCCAAACCACACTGAATAATCCTTGCCATCATAGAGGACATTCCAGTTTTCTGCTACTCTGTCCTCTATTGATACAAAACCCAACACCTTTATGTCCTCTATTTTTCTCTTCAAAAGAAAAATAGAGGACATAAAGGTGTTGGGTTTCAAATCAATAGAGGACAGAGTAGCAGAAGAAGCAAAGTCGGAAACAACCAGCCCATGCTGGCAACGTGGCAGGTTTCAGTCACATGTGGTTTGGGACCCAAGCTGATACACCACCAGTTGCTCATCTGGGGTCGTGAAGTTATTCCTTCTCCTTGGTGGCAAAAGTAAGGGTTGGAATTTGCCTCCTTCACAGACAGTTTGCCATGTTTGCTTTTGTGGGATTGGGAGAAACTCATGGTCACCCTGTGTCACAACAGAAAGGAAAAATCAAGGCCAAAAATATAGGTTGTGTTTACGTTTGTTATTTTTTTCATAGATTTATAGATGTTAGGGGCTGGAAGGGCCTTACAAGAACATGGGGTCCAGCCCTCCTGCACTTGGGCAGGAAAGACTGCTTTCTTTTGGTTTGTATAAAAATACGCATGTTGGAGGTGAAATTCGTCTCACTGAGCAGAGCAGCTCAGTGCTGCTATGGATTGATTGATAACTGCATGTTTGCATTTGCCCAGCCAGCCCAAGTGAAGGCAGCTCTACACACCTGGGAAAGCCTGCTGCCTTGGTTTGAGTGATATTCTATGTACTCCATCTCCTGTCTCTCCTCCCCAGACACTATTTGCTGTCAGTGGCTGCTGTTCCCGTACTGGGTGGGTCTGGAGCTTGCCCATCCCTTTGAGCAAAGTCAAAGCTTCACTGAACTACATAAGGTCGGGGGCAGACAATAGAGGCCAAGTGGCTGATGGTGAGACCTTGCACTTTTACTTATATTTCCAGGTCAAAGGAACTTGTTACTGTTCTATTCCAATAAAGGAAATAAGGACAAATGCCAGTAGCACATGTGTAGGTTGTATTGCCTTTGGTGGGGGTTCATGCACTGCCTTTGACCTCCCATCCGCAAGGAGGGAAGGACAGCAGGGTACTGATGGAGGCCTTTGATACTCACCTCCTTCTGAGGACTGGGAGATCCAAAGGGCAAATCAGATGATGTGGGAGCTGGTTAACTGCATGCAAAGCCTTTCATCATCCCATATCACTGTACCTCATGTCTTTTATGACTAGAAACAGCAACAAAAAGGCTCTGAATGAGATTGGTAATCCAGAGTATTGTTTCACACCAGTCCCAAGGTGGGACTGACACCTGTCCCCAGAGGTCTGTGTGAAGTGAAACGAGAATATTAATCCAGTTTCTCTAGAGGGGAATCCTAGCCCCAGACACCAAACCAGACTTTCTTCCTTCTTTAAATCTGAAGAGAAAGCATGAGCAAAGGAGAAATAGCACATGGAAGAAATCCCATTTCTTTGTAGAAGGAGTTAAGATTATGGCCTAGTTTTCAAAGGGACTGAGCACCTGCAGCAGGAGTGAAAGGGTGATGTCCATTTCTGAAGTTCAAGCAAGTAGCATACAATAATCGAGGGAAACTGCTACATATGCTGTATGCCTGACCTGCCACTAGCAGGCACTGTTTTAGAAGACTGATGTTTGTGCTTGGCACCCAGTAAGATGCCACACAGCCAACCTTAATAGCATAGCAAAATTTGGCATAACTTCCCTGATATGGAATTGAGACATAGCACACCTGGGATCACAGACCTTGCTGTTGCTAAGTTGAGAGAAAAGTGTTCATGCAGGTAGGCCTGTGCAGAAGGGGTGTCAGCCTCTCACTGTGTTTTGACAGAAACAAAGAGCCTGATTAAGCCAGATGCCATATTCACATAAAAATATAACAGCTCCTCCATCTTCTACAGTTCCTCCAATCACTTATTTATTTTACTTGTCCTGCATGTCCTCCAGTATATGCAGTCATGTGCTGCACTTAATCACACCTACTCATTTAGCAGTACATGCAACCATTCTAGTATTATCAGGAAAAGCTCCCTCCCCCTCCATGAATTACAGGCATCTCAAGAAAAGCAAGAGCAAACCCTCTGCAGTGAGAGTTTGACACATCAGAGGTCTCTGAAAAGGGACTCAAGAGGTCTCGGTTCAGTTTCCTGCACCAGTACATGTCTTTTAGACCCGCCACTTACTGTCTCTTTGCTTCTTCATCCTCATCTGCTAATTGAGGATAGTGAGGTGCTCTGCTGTGGGCAGCATTGTCCAAAAAGTTTCCTGGTCCCTGCTGAAGCTGTCCTACAGCCCAGGTGAATTCTGCAGTTGGCCAGCCAACCTGAGCCAAAATATTGGTCATCCAAGTGTTTCAGGTGGTTTTTATGAGTGAGGGATCCCATGCAAGGAATTATTAGGGGGACTTAGTGAATTCAGGAATAGCTATTACAGTGTGTGGCTGGTAGGTGGTGGGGGAGATAGTTTGCTTGGAGCCAAGGGTTACACAAGGATGCAATGGACTTAAGGGAGTGGCCAAACACTAGGCCAGTGAAGAAGCTGAAGCTAGTGAATCATTCTCCCTTCCCTTTCAGAGGAGGCAACTTTATCTCCAGTCTGACTTACCACTGTATAAACAGTGCATCAGGCATCTGCTCCAGTTTTCTTTTTTTATTCTAGCAAGAAAATGACGAACTGCAGTTGGCTGCAGGAAAAACCCTCGTGGCACTTGCTGGCACCTTTTACAATTGGGTGATGTGCAAGCTGCAGAGTCACATGGGCATTATGGAGCTCCCTCCAATTTTCTTCTTGATTAGACTGGGCAACAGCCTATGGTACAGCATTGCCTCCCTTGCTTCCAGGCTCTGATCTGAGATTGTGGAGGGAGGAGATAAATACCACTCTGTCCAATGGGGCCATCATAACTGAGTTGGATTTGGGGCCTGAAGAGTCTGGCTCCTGGCCCTAAGGTGCCAGCTCTAACTTCTGTAGCAGCTAGAAGAGCCTTCAGGACAGGAAGGAGTGGAGATCAGATGGGCAGGATCCTCCACTCCCTCCTTCTCCCCTGCATCTGGACATGGGAGGGGCAGCAGACAGAGGATTGTCCTACATAGGGGAGGTCTCTGTGGGGTTTCTCTGACATCTTCAAAGCCCTTTTGTGCTGCCCACCCAGCACATTCCTAAGAGTGAGGGATGAAGGTGGACAGGAATGTCTCTAACTTCACAATGTATCCTCCTCCAGCAGCACTGAGGTCTGAGCCCTACCTTGTGCTGATGTGTTTTGTACTGAGGCTGGTGGACACCAACCAGATGAAGCAGGCGCTGTGTGGAGGTGAATGCCAGCCCCTCCTGCAGGTGCCCCCAGAGGGTACCCAGGGCCTAGCACAGAGCCTGGGCCCCATTGGAGTGTCCCACATTGGTAAGCGGGGCCTCCACTGCGCTTCCTGGGCCTGATTCAACCATGAGTGGAGAACCCTCCCTCCCCAGGCTGGCTGGAGGCTCTAAGCAGTGAACAGGATTGGGCCCTTTCTGACTCTTCCAGAGTATTTCCCAGAAGCAGTCAAAAAGGCTGGAGCTGCCTTTAGGCTCTGGGGCAAATGGAGCAGATTGAATCCTAGTTGTAGCCCCTGGTACCTGCTCCACCTGTCCCAAATTCTTCATCTGCCCTGAGCAGTGCGGGTGCTGCTGGGACATTGTCATGACTACCAGGCCTGCATGTCTTGCTGCTGCAGCAGCACCTCCTTACTCCAATGTTCCTCTGCAAACATCTTGTCTTTTCTCCCCCTCTGCAGCTGTGGGAGGCTTTGCCCAAGCTGCCAACATGAAATTCCAGATCAGGGACAAGAGCCCATTCCCCAGCTGTCAGGCAGCTGACTACTGTTTCCATGTGCTCCCTTTCTTTAACCTCATGAGCAGCAGCTGGCTGAGCAGCGAGGACCAGGAGTTGACAGCTTCTGTCTTTCTAGTTCTGTAGCACAGCTGTCATGTGTCACTACGTCTACCTGTCTGTGCAGTCCTGGCAAGGAAAACCCAGTCTCAGCAGTTCATATCATGTGCCTGAGAACTGGCTCTGCCCACAGGCAGCATGCAGTTGTGTGTGCTAATGGGTGCCTGTGAGCACAGGGATAGGGGGCAGCTCCTTCCGGGCATGACTCATTCAGTGCCCAGGCAAATGGCAGGAAGAAGGATCACTCTCTCTGAACATGAATCTGGGCACATCAGTGCAGTGGGGAGATATAACTGCAGGTTCTCGACCACCTGGGCGATAGTGATCATCGCCTACTGGAATTCATCATCCAGCGCAGGGTGTCAAAGGTCTGAAACAAGACAGCAGCCCTGGACTTCTGGAGGGTGGATTTCAATGAGGTAAGGAGACTAGCTGGGGAGACACTGAGGTCCCAGAGGGGAGGGGAGTTGGGAATCCAAGAAGAGTGGTCGTTCCTTAAGGAGACGATCCTCCAAGCCCAAAGGACAACAATCCCAATGCGGATCAAAGGGGGCAAGAGTGCTCAAAAGCCCTTATGGCTCACCAAAAGCATCACCAAATGTCTCAAAGCTAAAAAGGAGGTGTACACCCAATGGAAGGGAGGGGCCATCACCAAGAAGGACTATACCTCCATTGCTTAAGACTGTAGGGGGGCTGTTAGGAAGGCCAAGGCAGAGACGGAACTGGGACTAGCAACCCAGATCAAGGACAACAAGAAGTCCTTTTTTTAAATACATAGGGGGTAAAAAGAAGGTACCAGGTAACGTAGGGCAGACTCTGCAGGACATGCTAGGAAATCTGGTAGTTACACCAGATGACAAAGCTAACCTCTTTAACAATTTCTTTGCCTCCATTTTTTTGAGCAGGGACCGAGACATCCCCCCCGACCTGGATCTCCGATGGACCCAGGGGAGGCACTGCCAGGCCCAGGATCAGTGAGGACCTAGTCAGGGAACTTCTGGTGGGACTGGACATGTTCAAATCAGCAGGTCAAGATGATCTCCACCCCAGAGTGATGAGGGAATTAGCAGAGGTCATTGCAGGATCCCTGGCACGGCTCTACGAGCACTCATGGTGCTCTGGTGAGGTGCTGGAGGACTGGAAAAGGGCCAATGTGGTTCCTTTCTTCAAAAAAGGGAGGAAGGAGGACCCAGGAAACTATAGGCCCGTTAGTCTTACCTCAGATCTAGGGAAGCTCTTTGAGAAAATTATCCAGGAGCACATCTGCAAGGGACCAGCAGAGGGGATCATGCTTAGGGGCAACCAACATGGGTTCATTCAAGGCAGGTCCTGTCAGACCAACCTGGTGGCCTTCTACGACCAGCTTACAAAATCCTTGAATGCAGGTGTCGTGGTGGACATAGTCTTTCTGGACTTTAGGAAGGCCTTCAACACTGTCTCTCACCCAATTCTCATGAAGTCACGGGGGTGGGAGGGAGGAGGACCCTCAAGTAGGTGGGTCATTGGTAAAGAAGAGGAGACTGCCCTTGAGGACTGGATGAAGAGAGCTGGGTGCAAGGGTACAAGTAGCTGAGTCCAAGCTGTCTGGCTCTTCTCTCCAGGTCTTATGGCCCCGACTGCTGGAGTACATACTGCAAGCTCAGTACAGCTGCACTCTGACCCCCCTGTACCCAGGGGCAATGTGTAGGGGGTGTACGCAGGTGCATGTACACCCCCTGCACATGGTGGTGCACCCCCTGCAAAAAGGCACTACCAACACTGTCAGCGGCATCTGCGGGCAGTCCATGATCACCCCTGACTGCTGCTAGCGGTGCCTGCGGGTGGTCGCCAACCCATGGTCAGCGCTCGCCACCTCATGGTTGGTGCTTGCCATCCCCCCCACTGCCAACAGTGCCAGTGTCATCTGCAGGAGCTTCCCACTCACTGCTGCCAGGCTCCCACTGCCACCACCATGCTCCCACCGGTGCAGCCATGCCCCCCCAGCCACCAGGGGCACGCACCATTCATGCCTGTGTCAATGCCTCAGGGACCTGGCCAAGCAACCACAGTGGGAGGGAGAAGAAGTGGCTTGCATGGACCCCAGCAAAGGAGGTTTGGAATCCAGATCCCTGTGGGATGAACCAGCTCCAACTGCCTCTTAGAAAATCTTTGGTCTCTTCCATCCATAATGAGGAGGCCCAAAGGTGGGAGGGACAGTTGGGTCATTACAACCTGGGAGGGGGAACCAGGCAATGTGGGCTCCCCAACCCTGAGCTACCCCAGATTTACGCTGTGCCATAGGGAAATCCCAGGGTCTTTCTGCCTCAACTGCCCCACTCATCCAATGATAACTGAGCAGTGAAACAGTGGCGACACGCAGGGGGTGCATGAGGGTGCACGTGCATCCCCTGAGCACTGGTGCACCCCTTGATTGGCCATGCTCACCGCTTAGGTGATGAGCATGGAGGCCGGGTGGGCGTGCCAGTGCCCCCTGCAAGTGCCACCCGATTGCTGCTATCGCTGCAGCCGCTTCCAGCTGCTTCTGGGAGAGGCTGCAGCAGTCGGCTGGTGCTTGCTCCCAGAATTGGCCACAGCCACTCCCAGAAGAGATCGCAGCAATCGGGCACAGTGATCAGCCATCATGCAACTCCTGGTGAGTAGCCCTGGAAAGGTACCTGCCAGAGGTGTGGGGAGGGTAAGTGGTGTGGGGAACAGATGCCTGTAGCCTTAGCTGAAGGAACAGGCTCTGTCTCTTCCCACACTCAGAGCTGCCCAGTGCTGGCAGAGTTCCCCTCCCTTTGCAGAGCAGAGCCAGGCTCTGCCCCTGCCTCACAGCCTGCGAAGGGGCCTGCAGGATCAGCCAAGCACAGCACATTGGCCTGTGTCTGATTGCTGAAAGCTCTGGCCATGTATGGTGGAGACCAGTTTCCCTCCTAAAGAAAGCCATGGAGCCCCACTCCAGAGCTGAGTGCCTGTTTCTCTCTCACTGTCAGGTGGTCACCTCAGCCTTGGCTGACAGCAGGCATGCACATTCTGCCCTGACGGGACTGTGGGCTCTGCACCGCATGATCCACCCTGCTGATGGAGAGCAGTGGAGAATCAAGATCCCCATCCTTCTCACAACCATTGAAGGTAACAAGCAAGGAAGGAGCACAGTGATCTCTGCAGAGTGGAAGGGAAGGGGGAAGGTTGCAGCCTCCTGGAACCCCCCATGGTACCATTCCCCTTCTGTAGCGCCGCATGCTTGAGAGCGTCTACTCTGTCACAGGGGGTCAATCCAGGTGTGTTTCTGGGCTCTTCTTGTCCTGACCAGCACGACGCTGTGTTCCCAGCTCTTTAGTGATGTTGGTCTCCTTCTTTCAGAATTTCCTATATAAGGCACTTGGTGCCACATAGTCCTCTTGCCAGGATGATGTCCATGTGAAATCCCAGCTCCAGAAATCTCTGAAGGGCACAGATTACATGGATGGTTCTGAGAGAGAAGTGAGGACCCTGTTCTGTCCAGACATGGCCAGGTCCTCCTGTGTCCTCACTTCTCTGTTGCTCCGTGTCTGAGGCTGGTTTGCTTCATGGCCTTCCCTTGTCCTGTCCCTCGGACAGCCCCCTCACTTGTTCCAGGTCGGACAGGCAATTCTAGTATTAGGGAAGATGGGGAGGACTCTTGGGTCTGTCAGTCAGAAAGTCCTGCTCACTCACCAATGCATTTCTTGGGTTCCAGCAAGTTGTGACCATCCTGGCATTCTCAGCCAAGGGCCACCTGGACCTCACCCTGAGCACACTGGAGGACTTTGGTGCTGCCATGAGTAAAGTGCAAGTGTCTGGGATAGCTGGCTGCCTGCAGGTAATGGAACTGGGGGGTTTCTCACATTTCTTCCCCTATAAACCCTTGAGAAGAACAGCTTGGCAGTGGCTACTCTCCCTGGTTAACGCCCCCTCCCAGGGGACATGCTCCACATCAGGTCTCTGGTAATACAGAAGGGAGCACAGTTTCTTCTACTCACATTTTTTATCCCCCAGGTTAATGGGTTAGCAGTCAACCAGCCCCTTTCAGGCACTGAGGCAACTACATCTGTTGTTCACCCAGAGAAAAAGATTGTGTATTTTTCACATCTTTCAGTTAGCTGTGGAAGAGGAGACATGAGCCCTATTGCCCAGCCTGAAAGTACCAGCTCTGAGTGCATAATCCACATGCACACCCACCTCCCTGGGCAAGTGCTGGAGAGTCGAAAGGCACCTACATATTTGCTGGAAAATGAGCCCTAAGGTTCTGCTCTAGGGCTCACCCAGCCCAGCAGAGCCACCACCATGGCTGAGCTGAGCACCTCAGCACTCACACCA